GATAAACAGCCACACAGAAAAGGTATGGACTGACTGGAAAAGCAGCCAGAAATTGAACGCACTGCAATCCCTGGGAGAGGGGAGCTGGGGCCTCCATTCCCACACACTCTCCTCGTTGTGGAGCAGCCACTAACCCCAGTCCTCTGCATGCACCTGACAGGGACACCAACATTCCCTTCTCAGAGATCTCTGCTAACAAGGGGCTTTTAAAAAAAAGCTTGAACAGAACACTTTGTCCCTGGTTGGCAATAAGTGCTCCAAAGTCACACCTCTCCAGGAGCCCCAGTTTAAAGTGTGAGCCGAAATGGCTCCTTTTCCTTTCTTCTCTCAGTGATGTTTTCCAGCACAAGACACTAAGGTCCAACTCCAAACCCACTGCTGCTGTTTTAAACCAGCAACATATCAAATGAATTCTGGCATAGGTGTCTGCTCTGACAGCCACAGGATAAGTTGGAAAGGAGAAATTAAGAACTTAATTAAAAGCTGATGTTGGAAAACAGAGAAGCTCCCATTCCTACCTGTCTGCAAGGAGGAGAGTGGGTGGGGGAACAGTGCGAGACATGAAGCTCTGAGTCCTTTTGCAACACCCTGCACTGAAGCCATCAACATGCTGTGACTGGTTCAAAAATACAGGGAGACAGGAGTGATCCCACTGAGAAGGATTTCAGATAGCACTTGGCCTCTGTGGGATGCTCAGCCAAGGCAGAACTTTCTCTGCTGTTACACTGAACAGCTTAGCCCAACTGTTTGTTCAAAAGCATCTTAACACCAGAAGGACAAAGCATTAACAGCAGCTGATGGCTGAAGGGAATCCCTGTCCATGCCCAGCTGTTGGGATGAACAGGAAGGCAGAGCCAGGAGGATTCCTGAATCAGCTCTGCAGGGAAGTCCCTGGGGGTGCACCTGTCATTGCTCAGGTATTTCCAGCAGTGCTGTCATCCACACTTAGCCTGTGCATCCACAGTTCCACCTGCTCCTGCTCACCCCGTCAGTAATGCTGGGAGTGGCTGGGGTGGGGCCAGAGGGGTGGAAAGGACACGAAGGAAGTGGCTTTGAGGGATGTCAGGACCAGTTTCCAGCAGCTGCTGGGCTGTGAGACCAGCACTGACTCACCAACAGACTACACTGCCCCGACCACTGTACTCATAACACCCCGAAAAACACTCCACCAAGTCAAAACCTCCTCCATGTGTAAATACAGTTCATCCTTAGTGGGACAGAAATCACCCCAGAAATCACAACAGACATAAACACGTGTGCTGTGCTAGGGGCTGTGAGCTCCCACCTATTAAAGGCCATTTCCTGAATCCCACTGGCAGTTCCCACATGTCTCCTGCCATCCCAGGACACCAGAAGCCAGGATGAAATGAGGAGCTAACACTCTAATTAGAACATGCTGGGAGAGAGACACCAGTGTAGGGTTTTCTGGGGGTATTTTCAAAAGAGCCTAAACTTGTGAGGCACCTGCTAGAGTTTATTCACACAGACAAGTGGTTTATCTGAAACAAACCCTGCACAAGTGCTCCCAAAAGATCACCACAAGTGTCCCATGCAGAGCACTCTGAGGATGCTCAGCTGGGCTGGGGAGAGTCTGTGGCAGAGCCAAAGGAATTCATGAAAAGAAATTAAGATAATTAATTAGATTAAAAGAATCTAAGGTGAATCCCGAGTGAAAAGACATTCCAACTGTGAGCTGTTCACCAGATGCACAACAACCAGAGGGAAGAAGATATTGAAGATATTTAAAGGATATTCGGGCTGTTCCAGGGATATTTGGGCTATTTAACAAATTCAAGAGATATTTAAGATGAAAGTCAAGAGAGCTATCGGGGAGATTTAAGAAATACTGGGGGGATAGGAGGTGAAATTCAAGAAATATTTAAGACAGAATTTAAGAGAAAATTAAGAGAAATTTAAGATGACATTTAAGATAAGATGGAAAATTCAGAGGAAAATTCAGAGGAAAATTAAGAGGAAATCCAACCCTCCAACCCTACGTGATTCCACACAACACAGCTCCCTGGCGATCCTTTGGGATAGAGCACAGACCCTTTGGGACAGAGCATAGATCTCACACCTCTCTAACCCTCCCTCGACGCCAAAACTCTTAACAAAAAGGCCGATTAAACCAGTCGATAAACCCAGAAACGCAGCTTAGACAACAACAAACCTCACCCATTTGGGAACAGATACACAGATATAGAGGTAGGTTTATCCTAACCTCAAGGAGCCACAAGGGT